ACTGTGCTCCATAGGGGGTTAGCTGTTGGTGCTTACAGTCAGGCATGTGGTCTGATTACATTTTGTAGTTCTCATATAGCCTTCCTTACTGCTATCTGACCCCTTATTTTGCATCATCATAAGCAAGATATGTGGTTACTGAAAATTCCTCCCCACTCACATTGCAAGTGAAGTAAGGTTTCTCTGAGGTGGTTCATCTCATCAAACCAAGCAAGACTCTGAATTAATATAAACCCAATCTCTTTCTGGTTTTCAACACAGAAAATGGAATGGGTTTGGCAAAGGCCAGAGGAAAATGACTGAGCACTATTGAGCAATATTATTGCAGCACAGGTTTGCAGCCAATCAGTACCCTTTCAGTGCACTTTGTAGGAAGACGGCTACAGGAAAAGGTAAGACAGACTTAATGAAACATAGAAGAAAAAATCCAGTCAAAAATAGGACTCATTTTTATTAATAGATTTTGTATAATCCCACTACGGTGTCCTGCTGCTAGTCCCTCTGATATCTCCATTCACTGCAGTAGTGCCCTTTTCATCAGAGGAGTGGACCTTCCATCCTTATAACTACTATAATGGAACACTGGTAACTAAAGAACACAAAGATTTGCATAAAGCAACAGAGAGTCCTGTGGCACCTTTAAGACTAACAGAAGTATTGGGAGCATAAGCTTTCGTGGGTAAGAACCTCACTTCTTCAGATGCAAGATTTGCATAGTCATTCACAAACACAGCAGGTGGGAAATGTAGTTTATCATCTGTGAATTTTTGAAGAAAGTATTTTTTAAGTTTTCATCAATATTTTTTCACTAACTTTTTTTCTGGTTTTCATTACCTGAGAACTGAAAAAGTTTTCAAAAAATGAACACCACAAAGTTTTTCTTTTTGATTGCCAAAAACTGGAAAAAAAATCAGGGTTTTGTAATTTCAGATTTTTGATGAAAGCAGAAATTTTCTTGTGAAAATTTCTATTTAGCAAAAGGGCATTTATCAGCAAAAATATTTTGGTGACTTGTCAACTAGCTTATAAGCATATGGCTCCAAATTCCTCCTTATAACTTTTCTTTACCTACCAGTCCTTACTACCCGGCATGGATTAGGTTGATGGTCACCTGTGACCACTGAAACTACTACTTATGCAAACCCACTTGTTCCTACTGTTACCATATCCTCGCACTTGCTTCCCCCCCATTTGTCTGCCTATTCACATGTACCTTATTGTTTAAATTCAAGCTGTGAGCTTTCTGGAGCAGGGATTGTCTGGATGAGTTGCTTGTATTGTATTTAAAGGTTTAATCTCTGTTTGGGAATTACTTTAGGTGCTACCACAATAAAAATTATAATAGTAGCTACTGTATCTTTTTTAGTGCACTTGGTGCATTTGCACTAGAAATGCTGTCCTTCTGTTACCATTAGTGTTGTTATTGTTATTAGTTATTTGTTTTAGGTAATGCCCACAGTGTGCTATGGAGTTTCCAAATGCACAAAGAAGGTTTTATAACCTAGAAGAGGGTAGATTTTTGAAACAGCACAATAGTACTACCCATCCCTTTCCTCTCAAGCTTTCTGTAGATCTTCACCAGTAATGCATTCTATGGTTTTCAGGGATAGTAACAAATAATTTAATGAATAGGAGAAAACAGCCCAACAAATGATGGTCAGGTGAGTTGCTATGTTCAGGAATTTGGCCTTTACACTTCTATGGCTAATAGGAGGCAACTAAGTGAGGAGAATAGATACAGAGTTTAAAGCAGATAGAACCAGGAGGGGTTCACACCCCAACAGCCAAGCAGAATAGGGAGTTATAGGAGTCAGTTGCTCCCCACATGCCAAGCTAAAGAGATGGGTGGGAGTTCTCCATCTGGCTTACTAGAGAAGGGAATTCTACATGCCCTTCCTGCTCCCTCTTCTTACCAATCTATTGTGAGTGTAATTGTCACCTATCCATATTGAGCCAGTTGCTCAGTGGATGTAAGTCCCATGTGGCTCTATTGACTTTAAAGGCACACAACAATCACACCAGCTGAGGATCCAACCTTTAATCATTTAATTATTTTAGATGTAACATATTAACCAAGCTGTATATAGAGGCCCAGATCCACAAAGGTGCTTAGGTAACTAAGTCCACGTTTTAGGCATCATTGCAATCCACAAACTCTGCTCAGCTGCTGCCTAACCTGTAGGAGCCTAAAGTTACTTGGCACCTAAATTTTCACTGAAAAAGTTTCCTAGGCACCTAACTTTTCTGCCTATGAGCAAGTGCACTGCTGCCACACTCTAGGCATCTGGATGCCTATCTCCTGCCTAACTCCCAATGCTTCCATGAACCAGGGAAAGATAGGGGGAGGAGCACCTATCTCATCCACAGGGCTCAATCCAGTAGGTGTGTTCAGAGGCTGCCTGCTGGCTCAGGTCCTATTCAAAATCTGTCCAGAGAAGGAGTGGTGTTGCCACCCGTCTTATAATGAATAACCCATGGGGTTGGAGCACTCATGTGGGATGTAGGAGACCAGTTTTCAATTCCCCCTTCTGCTTCCTGGTGAGAGAGGATTTGAATAGGGATCTCCTATACCTCTAAGGAGCATGCTTTAACCAACGAGCTATGAAATGTTCTGATGTGGGGGCTCCCTCAATCTCTTATAGGGTGACCAGACAGCAAATGTGAAAAATTGGGATGGGGGTGGGGTGTAATAGGAGGCTATATAAGAAAAAGACCCAAAAATCAGGAACTGTCCCTATAAAATTGGGGACATCTGTTCACCCTAATCTCTTACTGAAACTGTTCCACTTTGGAGAAATACTTAGTCATTGGAGCAGAGTGATTGGACTCTGGGTCTTCTAATCATCAGACTATAGAGTCATTATTTCTCCATTATTTCTCTGAAGTGAAACAGCTTCTACAGGTAAGAATTAGGAAGCCCCCACATCAGATTGTCCCATAGCTCAGTGGCTAGAGCACTCTCCTGAGAGCTGTGGGTGATGCCTATTCAGATTTTTCTCCCTCTGAGCCAGGGAGGCGGGGGGGGGGAATTGAACCTGGGTGTCTCATATCCTGGCTGAGTGCTCTGACCGGAGGGCTAAAAGTTAAAGTGGTCACCTCCTCTTCCAGCCATTTTGTGCAAAGTGAGGCAGGCACCTAACTTTCACACAAGAAATGGCTTATGCACCTAAGCTGCCTGATTCCAGGAGAAGAATTCCTGGTTGGGGATCTCTAGCAGAAATAGGGGCCTCTCTGCAGCCTCCCGGACTTAGGAGCCTATCTCTATGATCTTCCAGTGGCTAGTTTAGACAGTTCCCAAACTAGTATGCTAGCTTTTGTGGATTGCATTCTTAGGCCCCTCTCTTTCCCCATTCATTACATAGGAAACTTAGGCACCTAACTGAGGCATTATGGATTACAGTATTGTTCCTGAGTATAACCTAAAAGTTATGCTCAGTGTGGCAGCACCTAAGTTCCTTTGTGGATCCAGGCCAGAAAGATGAGATCTTCCTAACAGGTACAACTGGCTGAATTTTAAAGAGAACGGGCCAGATTCACTTTCAGCTAAACATGTTCCAAGCCTATAAATGAATACGGTCCATTATGTGTAAAATAAAATGTTTTAACTAAATGATATACCCACATGTGATACTGATTTGGTTGGTATTCATAGGGCTGTACACCTTCCATCTGCCTAAGTATCAATATTTTAAGTGCATATTTTGGTAAATTTTAGGGTATGTAACAATATAAATAAAATCATGTGTAACAAATTCTGGCATGCATAGAAATTCCGTAATGGGATTTTGTTTAAATGCTCAAAAATGTTTTGCTACCTCTGGAAAAATATTGAACCAGATTTAACCCTCAACAAGTGCATTGCCAGAAAAGCTGATTTTAGTATCTTTACAGCAATTTTTGGACTGTCAAGAGTGAGTGGTGGAAAGTCAAAATACTAACATTGCTGCAAAGGTGTTTAAAAACTGTATTTGCAAAGGAGGGGGCGAGGGGGAGGTTTCTAGTCCAGACTTTTTGCTAGCAAAGATCATGGTTTTAAATGTATAGTAGCATCTGGATGGCCCAGTCTTGATATGGATGCCATTGGGTTCTACAAAAATATAGGGTGAAATTCTATACTGCTCCTGTAAGAGGCACAGCACAGAACTTGCAGCCTGTGAGGAGGGGAGGTGAGGAGGGGAGATAAGGTAGTATGCCGAAGTGATCTCTGGCATAACTTAGATAGCCCTGAAAAGCTAACAGTGTTACATCAATTTGTTCCCAGCTGCCTCTGGGCAACAGTGCTGCCCACAGCCTCCACAGCACTACATGCTGTGGCCCTGCCACTACCACAGCCTTCCTGTCCCGTATGCCAGGGCTTGAGACGAGGTCCTTGGAGCACAGCCAGCTTCCTCAGTTCCTATACCAGGGAAATTCTCCCCTAGCTGGATTTGGGGCTTTTAGAGCCAATCTGCGCTGCTCTGACCTTTTTACACAGTGTAAATAGGCCAAAGAGTGGGTAAGAATCTCACCCATAGCGAGAGACCAAGCATCTTACAATATAATTAAGACTAGATGCAACAAAATGAAGGAAATAGGGGAGGGAGGATGATGATAACCGTGAGGGAAATGCGATGACATTATCTATACTGATAGCTGTTTGAAACAATTTTTGTATTTAAATAAATAAATATCATCAAACGTTGCTCCCAGCAGACCAGGACAAATTAATTCTGGATGAGAATTTACCAGTCTTTGTTTATCTGCTAAGCTGTGAGACAATACTGAAACCAGCCAGGGGGCAATGTAACTAGAAATATTTTTATGTGCCCCATCATTAAAATAATTGGTATATGAGTTAAGCAAAAATATTCAGTTATCAGTCCAGCACCCAGAATTGCAACTTCCACAGAACTCCAATCAAAGTCAATCTGGTAGAGTCTGATGCAATGACATAAAAATAACAAATATTCTGACTAACCCCAAATTAAACTGTTAATATCTTGTTATGTGTTTCCTTACAGCTGGCTGCATTAGAGAGGCAGATCTTTGACTTTCTTGGCTTCCAGTGGGCTCCTATTCTTGGCAATTTTCTACAAATAATAATTGTCATATTGGGTTTGTTTGGAACCATCCAATTTAGGCCTCGATACATAGTTGTGGTAAGTCTCTCTTATTGACTTTGTGTTCATAGTAGGCTTTAAAACAGGAGTCGGCAACGTTTCAGAAGTGGTGTGCCGAGTCTTCAGTTACTCATTCTAATTTAAGGTTTCGCGTGCCAGTAATACATTGCAACATTTTTAGAAGGTCTCTTTCTGTAAGTCTATAATATATAACTAAACTATTGTTGTATGTAAAGTAAATAAGGTTTTTAAAATGTTTAAGAAGCTTCATTTAAAATTAAATTAAAATGCAGAGCCCCCTGGACCAGTGGCCAGGACCTGGACAGTGTGAGTGCCACTGAAAATCAGCTCATGTGCTGCCTTTGACACGTGTTCCATAGGTTGCCTACCCCTGCTTTAAAACCTCTTAAATTACAAAACATATATTTTATGCTTGAAAACATATGAATGATCCTTTCTGCATTATCTTTTAAGGTCTCCAGTTATCCATCATTTTGAAACTTATGGCCCAGTAAATGAGATCTGGTTTTGAGGTATAGAAAATTATCCAGGGCAGTAGGTTTCAGAGTGGTAGCCGTGTTAGTCTGTATCAGCAAAAACAACGAAGAGTCCTTCTGGTACCTTAGAGACTAACAAATTTATGTGGGCATAAGCTTTCGTGGGCTAAAACCCACTTCACCTGATGAATGAATGAATGAATGAATGAAATGTCTACTGGGGAAAATCATTAGACAAATGCTTTAAAAGCTTCCGTTTTTTCTAATCAACTGTTGATTCCTGTAATGTTGTGGGGGTTTTTTGTTTTGTTGTTGTTGTTTTTTTTAAGAAGTAAGTGGTCTCCCCTGAGAAAAAACTGGTCTGAATGTAACATCTGATGAACTGGGTTTTAGCCCACTAAAGCTTATGACAGTGGTTCCCAAACTTTAACAACCTGTGAACCCCTTTCACTAAAATGTCAAGTCTCGTGAACCCCCT